GCAGGCGATGGATCATGTCTTGGAAAGGGCCCCCCACGTTACTGTGCTGCTCTCACCAAATCGAAACCCCGTACCCGTTGTTTATGACACAACTGTTGTTTTTCGTTAATCTAAAACACTTTTCCCCCATTCACTGTTAAAAAACCCTCACAAACCCCCGGGAAACCCCCATCGCTGCTGCAACCCCATCACCCTTGGGAACACCCCAGCCCCCCAACTACCATGAAAAATTTTCCCAAAGTAGCATTTAAATTTTTTTAGCTCCTTTTTGGGGAAAAAACCATAATTATGGTAAAATCTTTTATTAAAGGGTGGGTGGCTGCCTCATGATTTTAAAAACTTTAAAGGTGCTGCTATATTTAAAGGTAGCTGCATAAATTTCCCAAAATTCCCCTGGTAACCCAAATTTATTTGGAGCCGAAAACATTCCATCATAGCTTAAAAAATGGCTGCAAAGAGTTCGTTACACTTTATTCATTCTTATTTTTAAAACTTCCATTTTAAAAGGGTTCCTCCTAACCAAACAAACCGGGGGCTAAAAAAAATTTAAAGATCTTAAAGGGGCCCCCTTTTAAACCGTACCTTTTTTTCATTAAAACAAACATAAAAGGGCGGTTGGGCAATTGCTGAGGGATGTGGTATCACTCAGATCGGCCCCTTTCCAGACTAATACAGCTCTGGGTTTTCTCACGGGGGGGCTCCTTTTCCTCCTCTTTTTTCTTTGCCTTGATAACCAAAATTTTTAAAACTTGTAAAATTCTTTCCCCATAGTGTACATAAGGTAAAAAATTCTATCAATACTTTGGGGAAGGAAAATACAAGTTCATTTTTTCAAAAAAACTGTGTTTATTTTCAGTCCAAACCCATTTCGACCCCCGGGCAAAAATCCAATCATTTCCCCGTGTGTGGTAATATGGGAAACACTGGTTTAGGGGCTGGGGCTGGAGCTGGGGGTGGAGCTAGGGAGCTGGAGCTGTCTTAAATCGTTCAGATAGCCCTTTTTACACACAGCAAATGCGTTTTTTTAGCTTTGTCCCTCGCTACTTAATTGCATGGGCCCGCCTTGCAGTCGCTTTGCTATTTTGTGTAAACCTTGCAAATTTAGTGTAGTTTATCCCAAAATTGTAAATGTGAAGTTTTTGTTGTTGTAATTGGGGAAACAAAATTTAGTCTGGGTTTTAAAGCCCCCTACAAGATCGGTGATTGGGGTTTGTTCACTTATTATATCTACTCAAACTTTCTCTACAGCGTTTTTGGCAAATTTCTCCCTTTATTGGTATTAAAAAAATATCAAAAAAACCCTCACTGCTGAGCAGCTTCGTGACATTATTTGTACAAAGTTGGGGAGGGTGAAAGGGAACTTTGGTGAAACCCAAAATGAGGTAGCGTTTTATTTCTGTTATGGGGTTTTAATTTTTTTGAAGGACCCCGCTTTTGTATAGGGCCCAAAAGCCCCTGCAGTGTTCCTCCTTTCTTATATTCTTATCTCCCATTACAGGAGCCCTCTAATCGCAAATCTCCGGTCAGGTTCCTTTGTAATGGGAGAAACATAACACCAGAACACTCAGACCAGCAGTCTTGTGAAGCAGCAAATGCATCAGGTTTGTCTAAGGGCGAGTCTGCTTAATTGGCGCTTGAGTTAGCCAAACTCAATCTTGAAACAACATGGAAGCAGCAAGCATTTGCTAAGGAGGAGTTTGATAGAGAGAAGGAGAGGAGGCATTTTAAACAAGCGGTGGATGACTAAAGTCATCCACCATTTGCTTAAATTGCAGTGCAGCTAGTTCCTCGTTTTGTTGAAGCCGAGGCCGTATATCTATGTTGAACAATGACGACTACATCAGTTATCGGGTGATGAAAACCATGGTTCTTCGGGTTTATCATTGTATTCCCGCCAAGTACAGGAGGGAATTAAACTAGGCAAATGACAGCCGGGTCAGTTTCATGTCGACTTTGTAAGGCAGCAGTCGAAAGCCTTTACCTCTGTAGATGACCCTGACTCAATGCACCCTATTCCTGAAATTTAAGAAAAGCTTCCCAATTCTGTCCTCTCTTTAATGGTAGAGCTGTCTAAGAATCAAATAACAAAGTTAACTGCGCTCCTACAATCTTACCCTGATATCTTTTCGGAAGTTCCAACATAATGTACACTAAGATATCATGTAAATGTTGGAAATTCTAAACTTATTAAACTCTCCCCTGCAGAGCTAATCCTAAAAAACAAAGACTACTTCAGCAGGAGGTAGCATTTCTACAAGACTTGGGTTAGTGGAGGAGTTATCTAGTCTGTGAGCTTCACCGTGTATCCTTGTTAGGAGGTGTGAGGGAGGTTTTCGAATGTGTACAGACTACCATAAGGTGAATGAGGTCAATATTCCAGATGCTTACCCTCTGCCATGCTTGGATAACATAATAGACTTCGTGGGTAAGGCTACTTTTGTGTTCAAATTAGACCTCCTTAAAGGTTACTTTCAGATAAAGCAAAGAAAATCTCTGCCTTCATAATTCCAGGAAGTCATTATCAGCATACAATAACCCCCCTTCGGAATGAAAAACTCACCGGCATCATTCCAAAAGCTGATCCATCAGGCTATTAAAGAACTTGAAGGCATGGCTGCTTACCTAGATGACATTGCTGCTGTGACGGATACTTGGGACCAACATATGTCTAGACTTAAAGTTCTCTTCGAGACATTTCAGAATTTCCAATGGCCAATCTACTGTTAGTATTTTTGGGCCATGAAGTAGGTAGTGACAAAGTGGCCCCTAAATTTGCTAAAATTCTTGCCATTACAAATTATCCAGTACCTCATGATAGGAAATCCCTCCAACGTTTTTTAGGTGTGGTAGGGTTTTATAGACGATTTTGTAAGAATTTCGCAGATGTTGTAGCCCCCCCTAACCTCACTTACCAGTCAAAAATCCCAGGTACAGTGGACCCAGATTGTAATGATGCTAAAAAGCATCATTACAATGTCTATTTTGTACTGCACCCATTCTCTTGTCTCTTAATTTCTCAAAACCCTTTACATTACAGGTTGATGCTTTTGAGTCAGGGGTGTGGGTAGTACTTCGACAATCTGGAGAAGATGCAGCCTGTGGCCCATTTCTCCACCAAATATCATTCTCACCAGAGGGCCTACTCCACAATTGAAAAAGAAGCCCTCGCTCTGCTACTGGCATTAGAGCACTTTGAGGTCTTTGTGGGTCAGTTGTCTCAAGTGGTCACAGTCTACAGTGATCACAACCCTGAAGAACCACACCACCCATCTCAGGCACTGGAATCTCAGGCTGCAACCTCACAAAATACATATTGTACATGTTGTCTTCAAAGATAATAAGCTGGCTGATTCTCATTCAAGAATTTAAAATTAAAATGTTAGGTTAGGATGTGTTATGGACTATGGGTAGAATAGATCTTTTTTTCCCCCTTTGTCTACATAAATTGGTGTGGAGTTTGTTTTTAGAAGAGATATTCTGCTATCGTCCGCAGGTATCTTGAACCTTTGTTAGTCCTACTGTCCAATGTCTTGCTCTAAGTTCAGAGTTTGACTTTATGCCTCGAGAAAAGTTGAGCACTATCTAATGAGTTGGCTGGTTGAGAGGAAAGGTTGTTCCATTATTATACCTTGCCATGGTGGCACTCTACCCATGGAAGTGGAAGCCTAGTCCTGGCCATTAGAGCCCTTTTGGGGTGGGGATGTGACATGCAAAGAGTATGTTCGGCATATGTACACACTCCCATGCAGGCTGCCTCCCAACCAGCAAACCAGGTGCTAAGAGTTTAACAATCTTATGGGGCCCCATCGCTAAATCAGTACCTTGGTTCATTACCAATCATAAGGTGGGTCTGACAATTGCTGAGGTGGTGTGGTATCACTCACGGTCAGCTCTTGCCAGACTCATACAGACGCTGGTTGCTTATGGTTCTCTCTTGCTCTCTCGTTGGCTGTAGTCTTTAAACTGATTACGGTGTGGTACGCTTATATTCCATTCTTGTACATGTGTACATAAGTGTATATTCTATAAATACTTGGTGAAGGAAAATACAAGTTCATTATTACTACTGCTGTGTTTATTTTCAGTTCAAACCCATTATAACCAGGTCAACAGGCCAATAATTACCTGTGTGCATAATAGCTACCATCATGGTAACTACCTGACTTTTTGGGTTATCCTAGGTACTCTATACATATGCTGCTATGAATGATAATCTATGTATCTGTAATTGTGTACTCCTGAATAAACTTACTTACATACTTACCATCATCACCACCACCACTACTACCACTACTACTACCACCACCATCACCACCAACACCATCAATCAGAAATCTCATCATTAACATTGAAAGTAAGACCAGAACAACAGTGAAATGACTTATACAGTGAAATGACTATACCTGCCCAGGTCAGTCAGGCGCGATGATCAGATGCCCTCACATCACGGCCTACATGCCAAGGATCAACATCCTTCCCGCCTATGGTCTGGCTTTCGGCCCCCCCCCCTCACTCTTCCCGCTGAGTATCCACGTGTTGATTAATAAACACGTGTCAAGTCCAAGGCCGTTTCTTGCAACCCTTCCACACTACCCCTTCTAGTAACATTCAAATAAGCAGGCACTAAACCGCTGTACAGTGATAACAGCAATAACAGTTGTAGCTCCTGGACAACCTCACAACACTAAAACAATAGTAAGGGACTTACCCTTCTGGTGGTTCTAGCTCCTGGATCACCTCACTCACAACACAAGAACAACAGTTATGGACTCACCATCCTGGTGGTTGTAGCCCCTGGACCAAATCACTCACAACATAAGAAAAAACAGTGATGGACTCACCCTCCTGGTGGTTGTAGCTCCTGGACCACCTCACATGTGAAGGACTCACCATCCACCTCACTCACAACACAAAAACAAGAGTGAAGGACTCACCCTCCAGGAGGTTGTAGTTTCTTGGACACCTCACTCACAACACATCAACAAGAGTGAAGGACTCACCCTCCTGGTGGTTGTAGCTCCCGGGCCAGGTCACATGCATGACTCACTATATCATCACTCACGTCAGTCAACTCCAGCTCCACCCTCTCCTGTGTGCTGGGTAGCGACGTTACGGCTGCTGCTGACACTGCTGCTGCTGACACTCTCACACCTGCAGTAATACATCATACTGTTACAATCCCCACCGTAGTGATACACCATACTGTTACCATAAAAAATGTAGTAATACACCAAACTGACACCATAACCACTATAGTGGTACACCATATGGTCACCATCAACACTGTAGTGATGCACCATACTGTCACCATCACCACTGTGGTGGTACACAATACTCTCACCATCACCACTGTAGTGATACATTAAAAATTCACCATCACCACTATAGTAATATACCATACTGTCACCATCACCTCTGTAGAGATACACCATACTGTCACCACTAATGTAATATACACCATGCAGTCACCATTACCAGTGAAGAGTATATCATACAGTCACCATCACTACTGTATTAATACAGCAGGAACTCCCCATCAACACTTCAGTGGTTCACCGTACTATCACCAACACTGTAGTGATACACCATACTGTCACCATCACCACCGTAGTGATACACAATTCTGTCACCATCACTACGGTAGTGATACACCATACTGTCATCATCACCACTTTAGTGTTACACAATACTGTCACCATCACTACTGTAGTGATACACCATCCTGGCACCATCACCACTCTAGCGATACACCATACTGTCACAACTACTGTAGTGATGCACCATGTCGTTACAGTAACAACTGTAGTGATACACCTTACTGTCACCATCACCTCTGTAGTGATACACAATACTGTCACCATCACTACTCTAGTGATACACCATACTGTCACCATCACCTTTGTAGTGATACACAACACTGTCACCATCACTACTTTAGTTTTTTTTTTATTTGAAATACAGTATACATTATACATGGAAGCAAACACATGTCACTAAACCAATCAACATGTAACAACATAATTAAAGTACAACATACGTATACACAATCCAAAAAAGAAAAAGGAACACTTCACACAGGTATACCAACAACATATCCAGATAATCTACTTCAGCACACTTATACATCTTATGTCGTGAGTAAAAAACCTCACGACATACCATTAAAACCTATACATCCTCCCCCACCAAAGGTACATTTATAAAGTCGTACATATGTGCTCTGGAAGTAAAAAGGTACCTCCCCCCCCCCTCATCAAATACCAACAAAACAATGACATACTATAAGAGCGCAGGATACTACTTGCTCTAAGTAATAATTATGAAAACTTTGCCTAGCATACAAGGATAATATACTCTATATCTCAACACGGGTGCAATCCACCCAAGACTTCTTCATACACTATATACCCTATAGCAGTATTAATACATGACATACACCGCTACTTGAACTCATATGCATACCTGCTCCAACAAAGTCTATCTAAAATTTTGTATTTACACAAAATCAATATACATTTTTATATTACTTTACAGAATACTCTTACATGTGACTTGAAACATTAAAATAGCAAAGGTAAAGCAAACAAACAGCGTGTACTTAAAATATACAACACTGCCCTGCACCTACAGTGTCACACGACATGTACTATATGATCTTAACCAGGCTTCTGAAACATTATATGTTAGGCCTTATGTGCCAAAATACAATCTACCATAATATTAAATACTGTGCCACGTTGCTCATTACAGCTATTTACACTTCCGACCTTTCCAATATACAGATATTGTGCCCTACAGAATGCTTCCTACAAGAAGGGAAACCCCGGACTTTGTATCACAGTATATTCTAAACAATCACATGGCATACCTTAGTAACACCACGTAGTATGTGCTTTCTAACTGGTTTCAAACGGTTTCGTTGGACAATAAAGCAGACTGTAAACGGATGGGGTTGTAGGCGCCCTTATAAACACAAACATTAAATATATACCAGGAACGTGCACGGTAAGCTGTCCAATATACAAAAACAGTTAGAAACAGAAATACAAATAGCTAGAGCTTCATTTAAGGAGGTTATTAATAGAATATTCAAGAGGTTGCTAGTAGAATTGCAGTAAATCAACCATTCAAACCATTATGAAGCTGTGTGTAGTCTGTGGTCAGTCAAACAAACGGGCTTCCACATGCATAAATTGTCATTTTTGTGGAAATTGGTGTCACGCCCCTTGTGCAGATATCCAAAAACTAGCTACAAGCAGTATTAAAACAGGGAAGTGTTTTTGGGTATGCCCAAATGAGATAAAACTGTGGACTAAAATCACAAGGCTATTAAAAGAGGTCAACATCAAAGCTGCTTTCATAGAAAACCTGGAAGCTTTCTACAACAGATGGGAACATAAAAAGTCTGGGCTGAATGGTACTGCCCTTGATACTGGCCATGTAGTCAGAAACTGTAAGGCTGGAGATGATGTCCTGGTAGTCAGTAAATGTGGGGCTGATAATACTGTCCTGGGAGACAGTAATGGTGAAGCTGGAGGTGCTGTCCTGGGAGACAGTAATGGTGAAGCAGGAGGTGCTGTCCTGGGAGACAGTAATGGTGAAGCTGGAGATGCTGTCCTGGGAGACAGTAATGGTGAAGCTGGAGATGCTGTCCTGAGAGACAGTAATGGTGAAGCTGGAGATTTTGTCCAGGTAGTCGGGAATTATACGCAGGAAGGAATACATATAAATGACCTCATAGGGGACAGGAGCCATAGTAGGGAAACAAGTGTAGTCAAAGATAAGATAAAACCATATTGCAAACTAGAAATACAGCAGGAAATAGCAAACAAGAGGACTCCACTAGCAATAGTGAGGATTTTATTAACCAAAAACAACTGGTGGGAGCTCCATTGTTGGTGCTAGGGAGGATAGAAGTAAGACAGGGAAACATGCACCAACAGGGAATACAGTCACAGAAACCCCAAAGGGAAAAGGAAACCAAGCCTGTGCACATACTATGCACTTGGTATCTGCTGGCATGGGAAATCTGGAAAAACAGATGGGACGTTTCAACTATGACCAAACCCCAGAAAATGCCATGCCCATATGACAACAGGAAAATGCAAACTCCCTTCCTGTAAGCTTTTTCACCCTGAACTGTGTACCTCTTCAGTACAGGAAAGACTGTGCTATAACTTAAATTGCCAGGCATACCATCTAAAGGGGACAAAAAGATACAAAACATCCAGGCCATGGGAAAACCTGGGTAGCCACAGCCACTCAAGAGGGAGAGGTTTTTTATTGCCAGGAAGAAAAAAAAACTGGCAGGAAATGGCAGAAATCGTACACCAAATCCAGTCATTCCTGGAGTGGAACCACAGTCGATGGCCTCCACTCCAAACCAACAGATACAGATACTAATGCCGGAAAAAAAATCCCCCCCAGTACCAACAATACCACCAGTCCGATAACATTCTTCTTGGCAAATATACAGGGTCTAAAGCCAGCAACAAACAACAAAATACCTTTCATCCGTGGACTGCTTGCAGAGGCAAAGGCAATGTTCGCGGCTTTCACTGAGACCCACATAAAGGATCACTTGGACAACGAAATATGGATCCCAGGTTACAACCTATACAGATGTGACAGAGTGAACAGCAAAAGGGGGGGGGGTTGGCCTGTACATTGCAGCGTCACTTGTTTGCACAGAACTGCTAAATTTCCTCAAATGATGTAGTGGGAAATTTTAGCAGTAAAGGTCGAGAACCAAAACCTAGTCATTGTGGTAGTCTACAAGCCTCCGGATGCAACATCCCAGCAATTCCAGGAACAACTGTTAAAAATTGACCACTGTCTGGAACATCTTCCAGCTCCTGCACCCAACATCTTGCTCCTGGGGATTTCAACTTAAGGCACCTAAAATGGAGGAATATAGCAAATAATATTGTTGCAGTAATAACACCAGGAGGCAGCTCTGATGAAAACTCACACTCCCCGCGAGCTTTTAAATCTCTGCACAAAATCATTTAAACCAGCAATAATAGAGCCACTAGACTGGAGAATACACTAGACCTCATCTTCACTAACAATGATGATCTGATAAGAAAAGTCACCTATCAAAAACAATATACTCAGATCACAACATAATTGAGGTTCAGTCATGTATGCGCGGAGCCCCAGACCGACATAATGAGATTAGTCACGAGGGAGCATTCACCAATTCAACTTCAATAACAATAACATAAGTGGGACCCAAGTAAACCAAGTCCTAACCGATATAAGCTGGGAAGATATGCTAACAACACAGACCCCAACTTATCCTAGAACAGATTAACTCGTGGCACTCGATGTATGCACAAGGCTTATTCCTCAAAGAAAAAGGAGGAGTAGATGTAAAATAGAAAGAGACAGGCGCTCCCTTTACAGCGACGGAAAAGAATAACAGAGCGGCTAAAAGGGGTCAATATATCGAAATGAGTAGGGAGACACTGGTCAGAGAAATAGCAAGCATCGAACATTAAGCTAAAAGAATCCTTTGGGAGTCAGGAATCGGGGGAAGAACTAAAAGCCATAAATGAAATCAAAAGAAACCCAAAGTATTTCTTCTCCTATGCCAAATCAAAATCGAGAACAACGTCCAGTATTGGGCCCCTACTTAAACAAGATGGGTCCTACACAGATGACAGCAAGGAAATGAGTGAGCTACTCAAGTCCCAATATGACTCAGTTTTTTGCAAGCCGCTAACCAGACTGAGAGTCGAAGATCAAAATGAATTTTTTATGAGAGAGCCACAAAATTTGATTAACACAAGCCTATCCGATGTTATCCTGACGCCAATGACTCGAACAGGCGATAAATGACATGCCCATGCACTCTGCCCCAGGGCCAGACTCATGGAACTCTGTTTTTTCAAGAACTGCAAGAAGCCCCTATCACGAGCTTTTCCATCCTATGGAGAGGGAGCATGGACACGGGGGTCGTCCCACAGTTACTAAAAACAACAGACATACCCCACTCACAAAGGGGGCAGTAAAGCAACAGCAAAGAACTACAGACCAATAGCACTAACATCCCATATCATAAAAATCTTTGAAAGGGTCCTAAGAAGCAAGATCACCACGCATCTAGAAAACCATCAGTTACACAACCAGGGCAACATGGGTTTAGA